GAAGAGCGAGACTGTTCACATTGGCAGGGAATCTACCCTCCACTTCAGTTCACAGACCAGTGCCACAGACTAGTTCTGTAAGGAAAGAGAGAAGTGAATCCGTTTACAGCCTTCACATTTAAGGACACAAAGCTGTTGGCCATATAAATACAATGACAGGTCCTACACCTCAAAAGTAGTCCGCACATGAACTTCTAGTGATGACTAGTGGCCTGGTCCTGACAGAATGGTGAATATCCTCAATGCCCACTGACGTCAGTGGGAAATGAGGGCGCTCAGCACATTACACATCAGTCCCCTGCACTCTGACAATGCTAAGTAGGATAAAAGTCAAAACACCAGTTCCTGGTCCTGGGAAAGTTAACCAAGTAATCACTGTTTTGTGAAGGATTCAGATTAAAGGTCCTGAACGAGTAACTTCCATGGCTTCCAACCACTGCCTCTGAGGCACTGGAGACAGAGCCAGTGGGAGCCTGTTAAGAGATCGCCGTCAATTTCCAGAAGCAGGAGTGACCATCTAACACCTTTTCACTCCCATCTAAACTCAAAACCCACACACACATCTGCGCTGGTGGCAAAGGATTAAAATGCTGCCATCTTGCGTAAGCCTGTGCTTCCAGCATGGCTACCTCCAGCTGATGTGTACCCATGGAGAACTGGGAGCCTGTTCTTGCCCGATTTAGACAAGAGTAGTTGGACTACATTCAAATAATACTGCAGACAAACGGGCAGAAAGCAGGAGTTCCTAAGTAACTGCCCCAACAGCTGGTTCCCATTATTTCCTAACCCTGCCTAAACATCAAATAATTTCTATCCAGACACTACAAAAGAGGCAAGTACAAGCTAGTGATGCTGTGGCTGGGAGCACTAATCTTTGACTAATGGCATCTGGATTCACACTTCAGCACCCTCTCCATTCAGCCTTCAGTTTCCTAGTAAGTCACCAGACTCAGCTTCACTAAGATTTGGCAGCTCCTAGTACCAAGAAGCCTTGCTGGAATGTCATATTGATACCTGGACAGTTGTCCGCACCCCTTCTCCCCAAAAAGACAGCTGCAGAGAGCAGATACAGGGAGAAAGTTTCAAGCCTTTCCTTGCTAGTCACTAAAGCTGCAGTGAAGGACCCTGCTCTATATCAAGTGAAATTCTTCTGCCTCCTCTCTTTTATTGTGATCCTGGAAGGCAGGCTGATTAACTTCTGGCCTTCAGTCTGTCCAGAGGGGCAATCTTCAGCCTCTGGCTCCAAGCAGCTCAGAAAAGCTGCAGTGTGTCAGTCAAAAACCACATCAGGTGAGAAACTGCCTTGGGCAGAGCGGATGAGCTCTGTTCAGAGCCATTCTGCTACTGCCCAAGCAAGTCAGGAGAGAGCAGGAGAAGAGCTAAGTCAGACAGAAAAGCCAAGAGCCTTTCAGGCAGCCAGAAACATCCTCTGCTTCCTCACTCCACAGACAGAAGGAAGGAGAAAAACATTGTGTTAAGTAGAAGAGCTGGAAATGGCCAGCCAATCATGACAAGACCACTTGACATTGCAACACGGTCGCACAAACTTCACACTGAATCCTGGTGCATTTACTTCACACAACACTGTGACGTCATAAGGAAGATAGCAACAAAGAGTTTCAGGGCATCCACCTTACTCACTTTGTACTTCTCTCTGCTACTTCAGTCCCCAGCTAACAGCAATTCAGTGGCATGGATTTAAACCAGTCTGTAACTTGATGGCTTATCCTGTTGCGAGTGAAGTCAATCAAATTTCTGCTCAGAACATCACAGGATCACACCCAAAGTTGCTTCCTAAACTCCTTTAGAAAACAAGCAGTACAGAATAGAGCATCTTCCATCATAACCAGCATATTACAATTTCAGCATGAAACAAATAAAACATCATAAAAAACAGGTGTTCAAAACTCTAAGGGGTGAAAAAAAAATCTTTTCCCTGCCCCAACTCAATTTTAAAAATACAGAAGCATTTTG